GTAGAGACTAAATCTCACCCTTGCTCAGGCTGTTCTCAAACTCCTGAGCTCAGGCAGTGTCAGCCACTGTCTAGCCTACACAATAGCTTATCTTCATGGAGCTCTTAATCTAGGAGAAAGAGACTAACAAATAAGCAGACAGTGTACTACTGTACAGTGATAGAATAAGATATACAGAGTACTTGGAAGCTAAGAGAAGGGGTACCTAATTCGTCCTGGGGAGGATATATATCTAGACAGAAGAAAGAATTGGAGTTAGGTAGGCAAAGATGATGGGGGAAATATATGTGAGACAGAGGAAACAATAGGGATAAATGTCCAGAGTTATAAGTGTGACTTATTTGAAATTTTCAGTGGTCAAATTATAGGACTGGTATTTGAAGGGGGGATAGGAGTGAGACCAAAGGGTTAACTAGGGCCCTAATCATATAGGGCTTTATAAGGTATCTTATTATACCAAATCAAATTTCAATTCATTAACTGAGATAGAGGGAGCTTAGACTTTTGGCTCAAATTTCTACTCTGGATTTAGTTTATGATCTTGTCCTATTTTAGTTCATTTCTCCTTAGTGAGAATTGTAAATTATGAGAATTGTGAATCATTTCACAAAAACTGAAGTAATATTTTGTTTAAAAAACCACAGCAAAACCACCCTGTTTATTTGTAATTACTCTCTGTGGTTATGAAATTAGATTTCCCAAGGGGATTCTTCCAGGGTACCTAGAAGTAAAAAATATGTTTCCCAGTGGAGGCCTCCTGTGGTGCTATACCATAGTGTGATCAGTTGTGCATGTTCTTAGTTTCAAAGATTACTAGTGTAATGGGGGGAAGGAGTAGAGTCAGAATGGACTGAGGGAAACCAAGTAGATTTTTGGCCTAACCATTCTTGAAGAGATCAGGGCCATGGATATTCTAGAAAGGGTAATATAATCTTTAGATTCCTAAGTCTAGATTCAGTAGCTTGCAGCATTTTTTTAGACTCGTATGAATGAATTATCACATTTTCTCTTCTTTGTAGAAAGAAATTCAAGCCATGAGTCAGTGCCATCATCCTAATATTGTGTCTTACTACACGTCTTTTGTGGTAAAGGATGAACTGTGGCTAGTCATGAAGCTGCTAAGTGG